GAAAGGTACTTTTGGATAGGAACCATAAACTGGCTCTTGCATCAAACAGGTGCACTGTATGAGGGGAAAAGAAAAATTTGAGCAGAATGCTCAATTACATTTCAAATATTTCTTGTCCTCTTTTCCTAAGAGTAATCAATTTTAAGTAAGAATTGGCTATTTTGGAGTCCTTAACAATTAGCTAAAACTTGCTTTAATCTGTCTTACATTATTTCTGTTGAAAATACTGGCTTTATTAGCAGTTCCTGGGCTTATACAACACAATGGTTAAGTTTGCATACTGGTTATGCAGACCTAATCTATATATGCTTATTCTGAAGAGTAGGCATACATAGATGTGCAACTTATTTCAAGTTATTTAAAGTGGAATATGTGTGAAGAATCTAGAAACTGCCTTTTTAAACAATTTTTGAATACTGCCAAAATTAGCTAATGTAACCTCCAGGGTTATTATTTGCAGTACTGATTATTCTAGGGGAGGATTTCTTCTGTGGTGACCTAGTGCTATAATCCCACTGAAACTGTATCTAGGTAAAAGAGAATTTTGAATAGTATGCAGCTGAAGCCTGCAAATGTTCACCGAGAAGTCTGGTTAAATTCTATAGAGATTATTGCAAAGTTAAATGCATTATGAAATTGCACTCCAGAACAGCAATAGTTTCTACATATATTTGGGAATAAGTCCCATTAAGCACAGTGGACTTTATGAGTAAATGTGCATAAAAGAATGCGGTAAATTTTTTGGTTACCTGGAAGGCAATTTCCTTGCACTCCTATGTTCTTTATTCTCAATCCTGAAATCTTACTGCCCTCTAGTGTATTTAAAATGTTGATAACTCCACAAGATCCAAGGCAACTTTACCCCATATAAGAAAAAAATACAACTAAACAGCATTATTTCTGATGCAATTATAGATCATATCTTTTAAAATGTCAGGGCATGCTACTATGACTATACAATAGATAACAGTGCTCTTTAGATTACAAACAGTATGAGGGAAAAAGAAAAATATTGTATTAAACTGGCTGGCTTTGGATCATGACAGTAGACATAAGAATATGTTCATATAACACATAACCTATGATTAGTTTGCTTAAAGCATGCTTTATTAAAGAAGCAGAATTGATCAGGTTTACAAAACATGCTAACCCATAAACTTTTGCCCTTTTCCCATAAACCATGACTGACAAACTGCAATCACTTGGTTTACAATATACAAAACTACAAACACTCCCTATCTTAAGATACTGGCCTATAGAATCTTTATGGCCCCATGATTTCTATAAACTACCTGATTTAATACTTGATACAACCTTCTTGTGCTCCCATTTCATTTGTCCATGACATCAAACTTTTCTTATGAATATTCCATATAGAAAAAGCATGAGAAATCTAATCTTGTCCACCTGATTTAAAACTACTTAAGAAGCCACAATCTCTTCCCCTTTTCCAAACCCTACACTCTAATATGTGCTTGGCCCTTCACTTACATTCTTCTGTCAATAACTTTGTGAGGTAGGGAAGATATTCCAGCTCATTACACTCCAACAAACTTTGTGATATGAGGGAGTGGAATTTGGGATTATTGATTCCTAGGTTAATATTCTAATAACCACACTGCAATTTGCATGAAGAGGCCGCTTAAATTGAAATCCATAGAATAAATTTAGATAGTACAGTATCTTTTTTTCCTGTTTCTTAGCATTTCATAAGCTGTATTTGTCCAGAAAAAAATGCACAGCAGGACGGGAATGTTCCCACCCTCCAAATTTCACAACTGAAACTGGACATCCTAATTCTGCTCTTCAGAAGAAAATGCAACATTTTTTTTCCGGCAGGTGTTCCGTTACGAATGGACTGTATGAGAGGTGGGAGCGAATGCGCTTAGTCATTTGTTTTACTCTGAAATTATTCGAGGGGAGATATTAAAAAGCTGCTCTTTCACTAACCTGGATTGCGGCTTCCAACCTTAAACTTGGCTTCTCCTCATTTCCCTCGCTCATCGCTCAAAACCGGGCCAAGCCCGAAGAGAGAAACCACCGTTAGCCTAGCAAGTCTTCTCGCTACATGCAGAACAAGAGAAGCGCGTGCATGTTTGTGTCCCAACAAATCCGGTGTCAATGACTGTTGATCCTTCTTCGCTGCCTTTTAGAATGGAGGAGGTGTGTAGGAGACCTGGCTCCGGTTGCTAAGGCAATGGGAACGCTGAGTCCCTTGTGTTACCATGGAAACAGAATGCACCCCAGGGTTGCCACGGTGACCAGAGACGCGGCAAACCGAACTGTTTTCCTAGGTCAGGCTGAAAAGAAAGTGGGAGATGTTCTGTTCACAGAGTGAGGAGAACTAGATGTTCCTTAAGAAGACAATCTGACCTGGGAACCCCATCCAAAAAACATTTGACAACACCACATTTACTATCCTATTGGGCAGTATATTTCTGTATGAGAAACTTTATTCTAGCAATCTAGTTGTTATTACTTTTTTTTTTTTAAATAGTCATTATTTCCACTTTGTGTGATAGTAGTAATCTCGTTTCCTTATTAACGCATCATGGTTATGCATGGTACACTTCTAGGAAATATGTTTGATTGAACATACTGCATTTTATTTTCATATTTATGATAGGGATAATTAAATATGTAAGTAATCTGTAAAGAATTTATTAATAGTATTTGTCAATTGGCTTTCAACATAAATTTTAAGTCAGTGTATCTTCACCACTGCATTCATTTTAACCTTTTTTTAAAGCAGCAGTAAAACATTATCATTAACCTATTTTCCATAATTCTCATTAGCATAGCCAATAGCTGTTGGGAGCTGTAGTCCAACTTACCTGGAAGATACCAGATTGGAGAAAGCTGCTCTAAGAAATCAATCCTGGACCGTATTTCCTTTTTCTTGATATAGCAAAATTTCCTTAAAAAAAATACGGTAAATACATCAAGCTGTGGTACTTGAGTAACTTTTTTTAGAACCAACAATACATGTCATGAGGTGTATTCTCCAGAATTATTCCTGAATTGGATGTAAAGCAAAGCATAAAAAGTGAAGAGAAAGATTTTAAGTACATTATATAAAGTCTCTGAATCACCAATTTGTAACATTCTTGAAGACAATGGGATATAATGCAATCTTAGTTTTCCCATAAATAAAATACATCATTTTGTTTCTCTTGTGAACTTTTAGATAGCTCCTTTTAAAAAGAAATTAACTGGATTTAATCTTATTTGCTTTACATTTTTGAGTTGCTTTTAAATTAATATATTTTGTTAGTGTCTTTTGATTGATTATGTGCTATGAAGTTGTCAACTTCTTGCAATGACATAGATAGGTTTTGTCCATGACAATCTGTCCCTATCCTCATCTTTCTGGTCTTCCAGCAGTGCACTCATTGATACTGTAACTGACTCCATCCACTTTGCTGCTGGTCATCCTCTTCTTCTTTCTCCTTCCATCTTTCTCAGCATTAGAACCTTCTCTAGAGAGTTAAGTCTTTGCATAATGTTATAAAGTAGGATAATTTGAGTCTGGTCATTTTTGGCCCAAGTGAGAACTCTGGGTTGATTTGCTCAATGATTCTATCATCTATCTATCTATCTATCTATCTATCTATCTATCTATCTATCTATCTATCTATCTATCTATCTATCTATTTCCTTTTAAAAATTTATTTAATGGATTAATAGGGCACCCAACTCAAACAATGTGACTGGGCAGCATACAACGAAAACAAACAGTAAACAGGAAAAAAAAAAAAAAAACCAGCCACACAACATTAAAAAAAGCAACCCCATATATATAAAATATAAAATGGCAACTAAACACAATGATTAAACAATCAAAAGGGATTCCACTCAACTGGACCCAAATGCCTGGGGGGAAAGCTAGGTTTTAATGGCTTTTGCAAAGGCAAGCACATTTGGGGTCCATATTCTACATGGGGTGGCGGTGGTGGAAGAAATCATTCCAGAGCACAGGGGCAGCCATCAAAAAGGTCCCATAAGATGGCAAAAAGTTTAAAAGAAGGAACCTAGCGAATGCCACCCCTATGGGAGTGTGTGAGATGGAGAGATGTTCTTGGGAGAAGGGGTCCCACAAGTAATCCATTCCTATGTCATGTAGGACTTTAATGGTGATAACCAACACCTTGAATCACACCCAGAGACCTATTGGGAGCAAGTGCAACTTGCTGAATAGTGGTGTCACACGGGTATAACAAGCTGTGTCCATAACTACCCGTGTCGCTGCATTCTGGATCAACTGAAACTTCAAGGACAGCCCCATGTAGATCACATTGCAATAGTCCAAAAGTGAGGCCCCTAAGGCATGAGTGACCATCCAAAGTGTTGAACAACCCTAGTAGAGTTACTGTTGGTGTAGATTACCTTCTTTATCCATTATACTGGGATGCTTATAGAATTAATAGAATTAATAGTGAATTCATTTCATTTTTTAAAAAAATGTTCAACTCGGCTTTGATAACCACAAACCTTAGCATGTTTATATTTCATTATCCCATAAGTCTCCCAGGAGTTCAACTGATGTACAGAGTTTTTCTTCACTACAGAAAGTTTGTTGAGATGCTGACTACTGTTGCAATGAGCTTTGTGACTGAGTGGGATTTGAATGCTTGGTCAGCACAGCTGGACTAGCCCCACTTTAATCTCCATCACCCATACGGATTTATTCTAGTAAGCCCAGTTTTTCAGGCTAACTGGGTGGGACAGGTCTGCTGTACCATAAAATATTATTGAGACAACTAGATGTGTCAGCTATTTACCTGAACATACCAGTTTGACTGTTTTTAAAATAACTTGGCACCCTATCAAATATGTAACAAGGAAACAGGAGTTTTATTTTTAACGTATGAGTGGAATTTTACTGTGCATGCTGCTCCTCCCTGCTCTAGTCCTCTTGGCCAGGCCTCTCCCCTCCCACTTCCGTGCACATCATAATTTGTTCACAACTGTATCAATGTTTTTATCTGCTTCCAGAGCTACCCTGGGCAACAAGAGGATTTACAGGAGGAATTTCACCTCTGCCTCTTCCTTCCATCATGGCAGAAAAGGTTCCTCACTGGCACAGCTATCTTCAAGTGATTCAGTCCCGTGAATGCCAGAGAGTACAGCATTTTCAGAAGGCAGAAAACATTTTGTTTATTGTACTGGAAAGAGTCAAGACAATGGACCCCAGGTTTATAGTGGATTATTCCAGAAACTTGGAAGCCTTGGAATTTTCCCTCTCAGCTGCAGAAGATGAAGTCACCATGGAGGTTCCCTTATGGGTCAATGCTGATGTTCTCCTGATGCAGGCATGTACAGATGAACAAAGTGACTCTGAGAAGGTTACTCATAGGAACTACCAGATGCCAGGACCATGCTCTTTGGGGGTACCCAAGCAAGAAACCAACCTAGAAAACTGGACCAAAGAAGATGTGTTCAGTGCTGTGGATGGTGCTGATTTCAGGGGACACATTGTGCCAGGCAAAGTCCTTCATCTCCTGAAAGAACTGATAGTTGCTGCCATTGTTCACTGCAAGCACCAGAACCTTATTAAGCCAGGTACTGTCTCAGAGCGAAAGAGAGAAAGAGAGTAAGCGATTTAAAATAATTAAAAATCTTTACTCAGGATTAGCATTGAAAAAGAAAGAACGAGAGGAACTGTGGAAGAATATAAGAGGCTAGATGTAAATTATTAGTCATAGCATGTTATCACATAAGGATATATGCCAAAATAACTCTAACGTATATGTTGTACTACTTCAAGTGTTTATGATAAAATAGTGTATAAAAACTGAAACATACACATTGGAGGAAATGAGAAGGAACAATATAAGCTGGTGTGGTATACAGTTATCCAATTAAAATGTGTACTTACAAAATGTTAGCATTTTTCAGAATGCTGCTGCAACAGCATACTAGCTTGTTCTGATATAATAAATGGGACAAGGTGAATAGCTATATTGCTGCTAAAAACCAAAATACAATAATAACAGCAGGCATTTGTATAACTTTAACTTCACTGTAGTAGAGATGAGTTCACAGTGGCCAAAGTTTAATAAAACTGAAGCTAATCGTTAAAAAGAATTTGCTTGATGTTGTTACAGAAAAGGGGGTGGGATGAGAGAAAGAAGTCTTGATGGTATTCTCTGCTTTTAAAAAAGTATTAGTTCTCTCATTGCATATTACAGAGATTCAACAGTGCTCCTAATTAAAGGGTCCAGCAAATGTGCAAGCATTAGTGAAAGAACTGTGTCTGCCATGCTAATTATCTCTGACAACTCACTTTATTACATTATACACAAACCAATGAATCCACAATGTGGATAATTTGTTTTTCCAGATACAAATACTTGCTTTGAGTACTCACCAAATGTTGACTCTTCACCATAGGGGCATAGACTTGAAGGAAATCTGAAGATTATTTATGTATTTATTTAATTTTGTGCATGTCTATACAGGCCAGCAACCTAGATTCTGGGCAATTTATGAACATCATAAAATAATTTCAAAGAAAATCCCAGCATGAACTAGTACAGTATAACAAAATTACAGGAACATAGCAACCATGTGGTGCTCAACTACCATAAATAGCAGACCACACACACACACACACACACACACACACAGAGTGATCTAATCAAGGCATCTCCCAAAAGTGTGCTCAAACAAAATCATTTTGGCAGCCTTATGAAAAACTAATAGAGAAGTTGGCAGGAGAATCTCCCATGGGAAGCTATTCCACTATGTTGGGGCCATTACTGAGCAGGGTCGACTTCAGGACCTTCTCTGTCTGATTGTCAGGTTCAGCCCAAGAAACTTAGCGGGACATTTCAGGAACAGTTCAGTTACTTTATTAGCTTACACCTACTAGACAGAATCTTGCCAGACTAACTCTAACCCCCAACGACTA